GCTACTAGGGGCTCCTGGCCTTGCTACTAGGAGCATGCTACTAGGGGCTCCTGGCCTTGCTACTAGGCTCCTGGACGCTACTAGGCTCCTGGCCTTACTACTAGCAACAAGAATCTGAATGCTTGAATGCGTCCACAGACTCTGCAGCCTAGGAGCAAGTGAAGAAGAACCCGGCGAGGAAGCTCCACACCATGGGAGGCAAAATACTGCCGAGTTTTCTTCTTGCAGTACCTGATGCTCCAGATGTGCTGCTGCAGGTTTAAATCAAGTGGCCTTCTTCTAAACGGTTTTCTCATGCTGGCCTTGGCGCTTGACAGCTTGGGATGGCCAAGGGCCGAGTGCCAAGGTGTGTGATTGCCACTGTGATTGCCCTATGCATGTTCACCAGCACAAGGTCGCCAAGTGAGCGGCATGTCTCTGTGTCATTTTAAATGACACATGTGCGGCAACCCACTAGTCGAAGCATGCGTGCCATCCCACGTATGAAGCCCGCAAGGTACGTGTCTCCAAGGACGGGCAGGCTGATGTTTCCTTGGCTCGATAGAAGGGATACCGAAACGATCCGAAATGCCCTGGGAAGCAAAGACAGGTGGGGGTGTCATAGCCAGAGAGGGTCAGCCCCCAGTTCATAACATCCCCGCCCACCACATTGTCAAAATTATTCACATTTTTTTGCAAAAGCCCAATCATTAATTCACCTCATTCATTTTCACCACAAAATCCTAACAGCAAACCATATCACTACCTTATTCATTCTTCATAAATCCTAACAGCAAACCATATCACCAGCTCATTCATTCTTCATAATTCATCAAAGCCTAATCATTACTGTAATTCACCTCATCCGTTTTCCACTTAAAGATCATAGCAGGCTAAAGACATTGGCACCTAACGCATTTTGTAATTTTTTGTCGAATATTTTCTCAAAATTTGTGTTCTAACTTTCTAGCTATACTATCGTCCTTTCGCGCGGCGTCGCGCGACGACCCTCAGGAACATCCAGCTCAACAACTTCATTCTGGTCAGCAAGTTCAAGCTCCTGCTCAGCTTCATCTACAGGAAGTGCGCCATTCAGGATAAGGGACAGTGTTTCAATCAGAGTTCGAAGCAAGTAGCTTGACCTTGAATCTTTTTGTTGTTGGTCTATTCATTTTAGATTTCTAATGCATTCAGAGCTCAAGCAATTCGATGCAATTCGCATATTTGGTGGTGGCAACCTCATTGAAAATGGCATCCGTATTGGTGTTCTTTGGGGTGAAGGTTGTGGCTGGTGATGTGATTGAGATTCAGAAGTTGCCTGAGATGGCTATCAAAGAGCCTCAGGAAGGAGACTTTGACAAGATGAACAAAGGACAGCTTGCGCAATCTACTAAACAACCTTGGACTTCAAATCAACAAGTCCGCAGATCGCTCAAAAAATTTTCCACCAAATCATCAGCAACTGGAACACCAAGATTTCATCCCGTGCTTCCAGTTCATCCCCCGCCTTGACCATTGCTGAGAAGAAGGAGGAGATGAAGGAGGAAGAAGAGTATGAGCGCTTGCTGAAGACACCACTGTCATCAATTGCGATGAACAGCAAGGGAAGATTGAACAAGGTGTTTCAAAAGAATTAGAATCGGAAAAGGCTGTGGAGCTTAAGACTCTGATGAGTTCATTCACGACTTCTTGCAGAGCATTGCATCGGAAGGAATGCAAATCAACCCACAGGAATCACATGAGCGCTTGCAGTTGGAGCAGAAGAAGCACAAGTAGAAGTTTTCTTCAACAGGAGGAGATGAAAAAGATGACAGCCGATGACTATGAACCCGACCTTTTGGACATCCTCGGACTTGGTGAAGATGATTGGATGGATGATGAGGAGTTTCAAAAGTTTTGCGAACCCACCAATGACTTTTTCGAGGACCAAAAGAGGAAGACTAGCTAAGAACATGACAACATAAAAGTAATACTGGAAATCAAAGATAAGACTGATGAGGATGTTAAAAAGCAGGGGCATCAATTCAGGACATGGACAACGTCCTTAAGAAATTAAAGCTAGGCTTTATGAAATGGTAGCAATCTGACTTGCAAACATGACCCAGCAGCCTTCAACAGTGATAGAAGCATAACCTTTAATGGATTAGTTAAAACAGCTATGTTAGTTACAAAAGGCAACTACCATAACGGAGCATGCTCAGAAGTTCCCCTCTCTCAGAATCATCTCGTCCGCGAGTCATCGCTAGCGGAGTCCTGTGCTCTGGAATTGGGGCCCTGCTTTCATCCGCGAGCAGGGTTGCGGCACCGCTCCGCATAGTCCCCTTCCGGCGGGTCGCCGGAACTCTCAGGCTTCCACGTTCCCCAGCTTTCGTCGTCCGGGCCGGCTTCAGCTGACCCTGCCATTTCCGAACAACACTAACCAGACGCCGGGTGGACCATCCCGCGTAGGCCCCAAGATCGACCAGACCATTCGCGTCCACCACTGCATAAGTCTTGCAATGGACAAGTCTGTTCGCGGCACAAGTGCACTTTGCTTTCCGTCTCTAGACTGTGGTGAATTGGCCTGGTAGCTTCTTTCACTTCCCGGATTTTCACCCACAGACCATGTCGGTCTACTCGAGCCCAGTGGTCTCCGTCAGGCTTGATCCTTGCAATCTTTTCGCCCAAGGAGACCACTATAAGTCATTTGGTTTTCTTTCAGATCTCTGGAAGAACTCGGAGTCGACCCCACTCTGAGTGGATGGACCCCTGAAGGCTAGGGATTCATAGGTTCCACGAACCCTCAATTCAGGCAGGAACTCCCCAACCTCGGTTGCCACCGCACGAGTTTGCCTCCCCATCCAACCCAAGGCCAGAAATCGCCGCAAGCTAACACGCCGATTTTATCTAAGGCATATAGCCCCCACCCGCCTGTGGAGCTCAAACTCCCAGCTTGCCCCGGGGTACTAAACCATGCGGGCCCTATCCAGAAGTGGAGGTCGAGGCGGAACTCGGAGAAGCCCCAAAAGCACGCATGCCCTTGCAGCGTTTCAGTTGCGCCTGGACCAGGCAACGGTTCATCTTCCTCCCCCCCGAAACTGAGGCTTGGGCGAGGGAACCTCGCTGTTTTCCACCACCATTTCAGTTGAGAAGAACCTATCCCACGGCCCCTCCAAAGCTGCGAGTGGCCCCACGCTGATCGAAACCAGCGCGACAAGCCAAACATGTCACCAAAGAAACATCCGTTTCTTCAGGTGTCAAAATGAGTCCAGCGAGGTCCATGACCTTCATAGCGTGAGCCAAGGAGTGAACGCACACGGCATCGCTAGTAGGCGAGCGACGCAAACCTTCAAGGTAATCTTCACCAGCTGCCGGCCCTGGATCTGTAGCTGGCCTTGGAGGTTGCGCCGGAGGAGACCACGGTCTTGGGGCTGGGATCAAGATGAGACTGACAGGGGGCCTTGCGTTTAGGTCTCTTTCTAACGCGACATGTCAAAATGTTTTCCGTGACAATGCCTGTCTTTGAAGACTATGCTGCAAATCTCTTGAGGTGTGTGAGTGCACGAGTTTTCGCTAGACGCTGACACGCTGATCGGTGATCAGTCTAAACAACCCCCAAATAGCACCTCCCATGTGGTCGAGAGATGGTGAACCCAAGCCCCTTATTCAAGTGGGTTCAACTAAGTTACCCATGTCACATCAAAATCAAACTGAGCTGCACGCTTGGCAGCTCACAAACACCAAGACCCTGCGCGCTCCACTGCAACATCCCAAGCCTCTTTTGCAGCACCTGCGCCTACGCGTTTGATGACGAACGCATTTCTTGGCCAGCAAAATCTCTATTGCCTTGGGAAAATGTTGAATTGTAAAAAGCGCCCGCACACCCCTCATCCACAACCCTATGAAGCACACTGTATATGTATATTAAAAACTATAAGTTTAAAAAACACATATCATACATAAAGACTCAAAACAGTGAACCGATCCTCACTAAGGCATACTAAGGCGCTGAACCATTTGGTCCCGCAATCGTGTACCCGTGCTTTCCGTGGTATGTCTTGTTGGCCTGAGACCGGGCCTCGAAAGGCACACCCATCTCCCCAACATCATACCCTTTGAACCGCCTGGCGCGCGCATCAGAGTCATGAGCAGCAGGCGGTTCAGCATCAGGATCCTGCTTGGGCTTCTTTGACCAAATGCCTCGCGTTCCTGCTGCTTCCGCTTCTTCACGCCCTTGGCCTCACTAGTAAGTTGTGAGTGAAGGATTGAAGTACTAAGAACCCACGAACCTCAAGGGGGTACATGTACACAAGAACACATATACAGAAAGGCAAAACATATGACAAATTGTACTTGGGAACTGTTTGCAGGCCGACTGGAGGTGGGGTGAACAAGTCCTCTTTCAAAGCCATCTCAACCAACTTCTCAATCTTTGGCGTGGTAAGCGAAGACTCAGAAGCGTGCAAAAAGGAGCAAAGAGCCGGCGTTCCGCGTCTGCCTCCTCCATCTCAAAGCTCAACGCCCGCTTCACACTATCAAGCCCCTGGTGATCCTTCTTGAACTTGTGAGAGCCCTGCTCAACCTGGGCGGCATGCTCAACATGCTTGTTCCACCGAAGCCACTGCTCAAAATGTTCATACGTGGTCAGCCAGGCGCTGGCCTTTGGCCCCCACTTCGACACAGCCCATTCACAATGCTTCGTGTAATCCATGAACTTGCGATGCTTGGTCATGACCATGCAATGTTTTTTGCATGAAGGCCATCATCGACAAGCACTAGTCAATGACCTCAGGCACGGATGGCCCTGAATTGCCTGCCATTGGGGAAAGAAACCTCGACGTTGCCCAACCATTCCTCATCAAGGTTCCTCCTTGACAGAACCTGGCTGACTGGAGTTGGATGGCTCAGGAGATTCAGATTCATCAACCTGCCCCAAAACCCATGCGCGCTGCTTCAGGAGCTTTCCAACTTCACCTGAGGGCATGCTCGTAAGAAACAATGGGCGCACCATAGATAAAAACAGAATGTCTAGAGGCCTAGCTTCATATTCAAACATGGTTGCCCCTTCCTTACTAAAATTGCGTTTGTCGCCCGGATCCTTCACCATCAGTGGCAACATTGGAATCCACATCGTGGCTCTCAACATCATCCTCCGGCGCAGCCGGCGCATCGGGAGACTCAGCCTCAGACTCACTGCCCCCGGAAGCTTCATCCTGGCCATCAAAGCCAGGATTCTTCCACACGCGCACCACCTTCGCGCTCATCACACTCATCATGGCCATCATCAGGCTCCACCCTTGCCTTCCGCGGAGATGCTCGCAGGCACGATTTGAGTTCAGTCACCCTTGGGTGGCGCCCGGTGTCTGGGCTGGATCGGAACAGTGCTCGCAGGGAACCCATGAGGCGCTTCACTCGCTTCTTCAGCAGCCAACGTTTTGCCTCCATCATTTGGACCAGCACGGATGGCAAGTGTTCCTTCATCGATTGCGCCAGGCTCTGGGAACTTCCATTCCCCTTCTGGAATCGTGAGAGACCTTGTTACATGCTCTTAGAACACCCCTTCTCTGAAAGCA